TAAATGGGAGGAGCAATTAGATTACAATAAGCTGCCGCTCTGGTCTGATTGCGAGACTGCATTAAATAAGCGATACCAACACATTTCTGCTGACGAAGCTTCTAAATCAAGGTCTCGATCGAACAGGCCAAAACAAGACAACTGGCAAGGTAAGAATGTAAAATCGTCACTTATGTGCAAGAAAAATAGTTCGCAAGAGGAAAGTAGATGTTTGTTCTGTAATGCGAAGGAACATGTAATAAATTCATGCTCCGCCTTTGCTGCCCTCTCAGTTACTGAACGGTTCAATTTCATTAAATCATCTTCGGCATGTATAAATTGTCTCAAGAAAGGGCACACGGTATCTAGATGCAAGGCGTCACGCTGCAGAGTGTGTAATCGGTCGCACCATACTCTTTTACACCAATATTCTACTAACACTCCTCAAACAGGTTTATCTTATAATCCAGAACAACCTATTATTTCTCGTGCCTCTGTGAATCATAGCTCATCGAATGACGATCAAATTATTCTAGCCACTGCAGTCATAACCATTCAAGGAAAATCTGGAGAGTATCAGCTGGCCAGAGCACTGCTCGATTCCGGTTCTCAAGTCAACCTTATAACCGAGGAACTTGCACAACGACTGCAACTAAAAAAAGAAGCGAAAACTCTAAACCTAATTGGCATTGGTGAAACAAACTCCACAGTACGGCAAAAATTACATGCCACTGTGAGATCACGTATTAACTCTTATGAGTTTTCTACTGATTTTTGGGTAATGCCTTCAATCTCCACTTACCAACCCGACAAATTTGTGTCAATGAGTAATTGGAATGTTCCTTCTAATCTTTCACTTGCTGATCCGCACTTTCACAAACCGCAAAAGATAGATCTTCTACTTGGTGCCGAAAGCTTTTTCGAACTGTTGTCGATTGGACAAATAAAACAAGGTACTAATCTTCCAGTTCTCCAAAAAACTTTACTTGGATGGATTGTATCAGGAAAATATAAAGATGTCCCAAGTAATGTATCTAAGATATGCAATTTAATACGCCTTCAAGAAGCAGAGTCAACAGGTGATTTCTGCTTAAACTCTCTTGTGAAAAAATTCTGGGAATTGGAAGAAATTCCCAAGGAGCTCACGGTCAAAAAATACACAATAGAACAACAACACTGTGAGACCAAGTTTCTCAACACAATTTTACGCTTACCTTCAGGGAGGCTTAAGGTGCAGCTTCCTTTCAAGTCCAACCCCAACCTTCTAGGTCAGTCATATGAAACAGCAAAAAATCGTTTTCTCTCACTGGAACGCAGGTTGTCGAAAGACTGTATGCTTCAGAAGCTGTATATGGAGTTTATGGCAGAGTATCGTGACTTAGGTCACATGACATTAACTACTGACAACTTTTCTTCGACACCTCATTACTATATACCGCATCAGTGTGTGTTGCGACCTCAGAGTACCTCGACAAAACTTCGCGTCGTGTTCGATGCTTCATGCCGAACATCTTCACAAGTGTCGTTGAACGACATTTTAATGGTTGGTCCAACGGTACAAGAAGAATTGTATTCAATCCTACTTCGCTTTCGTATGCACAAATACGCGATGACTGCTGACATTACAAAAATGTACCGTCAAATCGAAGTTGACGAGGCAGATCGCAATTTTCAGCTTATTCTCTGGAGGGAAAAACCTACGGATCAGATTAGCGTTTATAAACTGAACACAGTGACATATGGTACTTCACCTGCTCCTTTCTTGGCAACACGTTGCCTAAACTACTTAAGTGACCTGTACAAGAATTCTCATTCAGTTGGAGCAAGGGTTATCCGACATGACTTCTATGTCGATGACCTATTGACTGGTGCTGACAGTCTGAAGGAACTGGAAACAATTCGTACCCAATGTACTGAAATTCTTGATGCGGCTGGACTTAAATTAGCGAAATGGTTTTCAAACCATAAAACGTATGACTCGTCAGACTTCTTTCTAAATGTTAATAATACTGATTCCACAAAGGCGCTAGGTATACACTGGATTCCCCAGAATGATACGCTTAAGTTCCATGTAGACGAAAAGTTTCATGACTTGCGAGCAACAAAAAGAAACATACTATCAGTATCAGCTCGACTCTTCGATCCCCTCGGACTAGTATGCCCAATAGTGACTAAGGCAAAAATTTTATTGCAAGAACTTTGGCTTCAGAAGCTTGACTGGGATGAGTCAATTCCTATGCATCTCGATTCTAGCTGGCAAGCATTTAAAAGCAACCTGACTCAGATGGACTCTATTTCCATTCCGCGGTATGTTCATATTCATTCAAATATAAAATGCGATATTCACGGTTTCGCCGATGCGTCAATGAGAGCGTACGGCTGTTGCATCTACGTCCGAATTCATGATTCGAATGGGATTCATTCTGAATTGTTAACTGCCAAATCTAAGGTTGCTCCTTTAAGCACAAAATCATTACCCAGATTAGAGCTGTGTGCCGCTCATTTATTGGCTAAACTATGGTCTCGAATTCAGCCGTTGATTACTTGCGAAATCGGGGATGTTTATTTTTGGACGGACTCTGAAATTACACTTCATTGGATTAAAACTCACCCATCTACTTTAGCAACATTTGTAGCAAACAGAGTTGCAGAGATCCAAGAATGGACGAGCGAAGTTCTTTGGAGACACGTTCCATCAAAGCTAAATCCTGCAGACTTAGTCTCCAGAGGATGTGATGTAGATGAGTTGATTCACTCAATTTGGTTTCGTGGCCCATCATATTTGCTTCAAGATGCCACTAACTGGCCAAAAAATAGTCATTTTCCACTATCAACAGATGAGAAAAGTTTAGAGAAACGAAAGGTCAAGGTCGGACTTTTAGCAGTTGAAATTGAAACTAATGTCATTTCAAAACTAATCTGTAGCCAATCATCTTACCCAAGACTGCTGAGAATTTTCGCGTACATTCTACGTTTTATCACTAAGAAAAATGAGAGAGCCAACGCTCTTATTCCGACATCAAAGGAGCTTAATTGGGCATTCTTGAAAATCGTTGAATTTATTCAAAATCACGAATTCAAGGAAGAAATCGAAAAAATGAAGAAGTCGCATAAATTACCAGTCAGCATTCAAAAACTAACTCCATTCATTCATACAGTCCAAGATGGTTCTCGAACATGCAATTTGCTTCGTGTAGGAGGTCGTCTACTAAACGCACCACTGTCTTATGATTCAAAATTTCCCTTGCTGTTACCTAAAAAATTGCATTTTGTCGAGATTTATTTACGATTTCTCCATACAACCAATTGTCATGCTGGTCCAAAAGCCTTAGAAGTGCTGCTTCGTGAAAAAATTTGGGTCATAAATTCAAGCAAGGCATGCAGTAAAACCGTAAGAGCATGCATAAATTGTTTTCGATACAAACCTAAGCTGTTGACCCAAGTAATGGGAAACTTACCTGCAGATCGGTTAAAGGCACTACGACCCTTTTTAATTAGCGGTGTCGATTTTTGTGGGCCTGTATACACCACTTTGAAAATTCGTGGTCGACCACCAGTTAAAATGTATATCGCAGTGTTTGTTTGTTTCACGTCAAAGGCTATACATTTAGAACTTGTAACAGATCTGACAACTAACTGTTTTATTTTTTGTCTTAAAAGGTTTGCCGGAAGACGAGGACTCCCAGAAAAAATCTATTGCGACAATGCGACAAATTTTGTAGGTGCCGATCGCAAGCTGAGAGAGCTGATAGAGGCGTTTCGAGAGCACAAGGACGATCTGGCATACTATGCTGCACAAAAGGGCATAGAGTTTGTCTTCATACCACCCAGGGCACCTCATTTCGGAGGATTATGGGAAGCGGCGGTAAAGTCGGCAAAACACCACATACAACGAACAACCAACAGTGCGCTTCTTACCAGCGAAGAACTGCAAACAGTGCTCGTAGAGGTAGAAGCCCTGCTAAATTCTCGGCCACTCAGTCCATTGAGTCAAGACCCGAACGACAAAGAGGCGCTAACACCAGCACACCTGTTGATAGGAGGTACTCTCCACACGCTGCCGCAAGAATCCGCACAAGGCGTCTCCGACAACAAATTGACCACTTTGAAACGTTGGCGTCTGTTATGCGAGCTCAAACGGAGGTTTTGGCAGGCCTGGTCGAAAGATTACATCCTACAGCTGCAGCCCAAGAACAAGTGGGTGTTCGAGCAGCCGAATCTCGCAGTCGGCCGACTAGTCGTCGTCCAAGAAGACAACCTTCCCTCTCACCAGTGGAAGCTCGGAAGGGTGGAAGCCGTAATTACAGGTCGCGACAATAAGGTCAGGGTCGTTGACGTCAATACCAGCAACGGAATTCTGAGGCGTCCAGTTCACAAATTAGCGATGCTGCCAGAAAATTGAACACATGATCGTGCTTCAACGCGGCCGGTGTTGAATGTTTATATTTTATATTGCATTTTTTGTTTAAAGTAGTTAAAATAAAACGCGTGCTGCTCATTTTTATTGTTAATATGCAACCCAATGTTGACTTTCGTCAACCTTGCACATTACATACGGTAATCTTAAAAAAACAACAACTTTAATTTTATACAGTTTTTTAGCTTCCAGACTGAACTGGGTTTTTTGATTCTCTCTCTTGCATTTCAAGTCCCAAGTGAACAGCACGCGTTTTATTTTCAATTTTCGATTTATTAAAATTTTAATTTCTTAAATAAAGTGTAATTATTCTGAATAAAATACTTTCGTTGTAAATTTCATTTTTTTTATAACTTCAATAAATACAAAAACTCTTGTATTTTTTCAATATTTATATGAATTTTAGAAAAAAGTTATGTATAAGTTAAAATAATTTATTAATGATAAGAATTAAGTTGATATAATATTTTTATTAAAAATATGTTATATTTATTTTATGTAATATATATGTTTAAGTTTAGAATTTCTTTAATTCATATTTAAATTTGTACTATTTATTTTACTTTTATGTAAAATATTTTAAGTTCAAGTAAGTTTCTAGTAGTAGTAGTATAGTATTTCTATTTTAGTTTAATAACATTATAATATTTCAATCTTAAAACTAATCTTACACGTTAATTTATAATATTTCAATCTTAAAATTATTAAAAATTATTGTAATATTTCAATCTTAAAATATTTATACATTAAAATATTGTTACTTATTCAATTAAACTACATATATAAATGTACCACAACATTTTCTATTTAAAAAAATTGCAATAAATATATTAATTAATAAAATTATATAACACGTTTTCTTAACAAATAATTAAAAAGTCTTTCTCTTCTATTAATACCATGATCCAATTCCTGTTCATCCATTTGCGGTTCGTCATTGCTTTCATTATGACTATTTGATTCAGCATTCTCGAACAAATCATCCTTTATAATACAAATATTATGTAAAAATACAAACGCTTACAACTATATCTGTTATTGCAGCCAAATCTGTTTGCTCCGTAAATTTTAATAATCTTCGAAAACGATTTTTCAGTATTCCAAAAGCGTTCTCAACTACAATACGGGCAGATGAATGTTTTTCATTAAATTTTTTTGGGTGACACAATCCAGTAGAAGGATAAGCAGAATCTCCAATAATAAATGACGAGTTTGGAAATATTTCTTCATATCTTGAGTGTGCCATTCTATAGAGCTTTGACCTTCTCAAAACTCTGTAATCATGCAACGATCCAGGTTCTTCATAAGTAACTACAATAAATTTTTTATTAGAATCCACTACACCTTGGAGAACGATACTATAGCGTTGCTTGCGAATAAAGTAATCTTTCCCATGCCTTTGTGGTTTTTTTATAGGGATATGTGTACAATCGATTGCTCCGATAATGCCTGGTATTTTGTGTTTACGTTCAAATGTATTTATTATATCTAATGCAGCGACTCCTCGTGGCCATGATACGTAATCTCGGCCTATGAAAATCAAAAACTTAGTAACAGTTTTCACTGTTGACCATGCCGTAGAAACTGAGACTCCAAAGAGATTTCTTAATTGTCTATAAGTTAACGTATTACCAACCTACCAAAGATATATGGCTATTGTGCCATAAATTTATACAAAATAATAAAACACAATTGTTACTGACTTTCTGCCGTTCACGTGGAACTATATTTTTATTACTACTGTTAGCGTCTACTTGAAGTTGGTTGCTTATTCACATTCAAGAAAGATCATTTTTGGTTTTACTTTGCCGGTAGATGGCAAAGTGAGCGCCACAGATGTGTTCGCCACAGCACTCCCCCCTCGATGAATAACAGAAACTGCTGTTATTTGTAGGTCATCTTGGTTTGCGTAACTTGTTACTCTTGTAATGGAACCTGATGGGGTTGCTGCTTTGATTGAGCCATTCTCATCGAGTTCTGAATGTTGTTTGTAATTGATAAAATTTCGTCAGAAGACGTTGCGTTAGTGTTGCGTTGCGGCTGCTGTGTGAAATTTACGTCACTGTCGTGCAATTTGTGCTTAGGTATTTGGTTCCACTGACCAACGTTGACAGTTGTGAATTTGGAGTGTTTACCTCAAAGGATCTTGTTCAGCAAAGGTTACTTTGCGTACGTTGTTGCTGGTTCTGTCCTTGTTTTGGGCCGGATTGACTAATATTTCCAAACACGATGGTTCTGACGACTGCTCATTACTTATTGCTATGAACGCTGGTTTTAACCTTTCTATTGAAACATTTAACTGTTTGATACCAACTTGAATCTTGAAAACTCGTTCACTTATTCTTTTGATGATTTTGTGCGGGCCTGTGTATGGCGTTTCCAGTGGTTTTCTTATATGATCAGAAGGTAGGAAAACGTGGGTGCAGTCTCGTAAACCTTTCTGAATGAAAATTGGTGATTTTAAATGATGCGATGCTGAAGTAGGCCTCATTTGCTGTAACCCTTTGCGAATTTGATATAGAAACTTTCCCTGGTTGCATGGTGGAACATTGTCGATGAAAAATTTACCGCAAAACTGTGCCATAAACTAGTTCTGCTGCTGACGCACCTATGTCTTCATTTAATGCTGACCTCAAACCCAGTAGAACTGATGAAAGTAACTGTAACCAAGTTTGTTCAGGTCTGGCCATGAGAGCTGTTTTTAAAGTACGATGAATCGCTCTATCATGCCGTTAGCTGCCGGATGGTAAGGAGTCGTACGAATGCGCTCGGTTCCCAGTAAATTGGTTAGAGCTCGAAACAAATCTGCTTCAAATTGAGTGCCTTGATCGGTTGTTACTAACTTAGGTGCTCCAAAACGTGAAATCCAAGTGGCGAAAAAACTTGCTGCTACTGTGTCTGCTGTTATATCTTTGAGCGGTGCTACTTCTGATCACCTACTGAACCTATCGATCATGGTTAGTGCATATCTATAACCTTGGCATTCTAGCAGAGTGATTAGATCAATGTCAACGTGATCAAATCGTTGGTCTGTTTCTGGAAAGAACATTGGAGCTGGTTTGGTATGTTTGTTGACCTTTGCTCGTTAACAGCTTTGACATTGACGAACCCATGACTTTACATCTTTACGAATTGATGGCCATACATACTTTGAAGTTAATTGATGAAGCGTTACTCTGGCACCGGGATGTGATAGGGAGTGTACTAGGTTGAATACGTCTCTTCTCAATGACTTTGGGATGAATGGTCGTATGCGATCAGTTGTGATGTCGCAATATGTATCCAGATCCGCTTGTAGCCTTAATTTCTTTAGCTGCAATGGTGCATTTGATTTGAGTGCTTCTTCTAACTCTACGTCATTGACTTGAGCTTCACTGATGCGTTTTAAACTACATGACTGCGGCATTGTTATTGCACATACCCGTGATAGAGCATCAGCTACCATGTTGTTGGAACCTGATACATATGTTATGTCAGTTGAAAATTTAGCAATGTAGCTTAAGTGTCGCGCTTGACGAGGCGATAATTTTTCCAACTTCTGTTTGAATGCAAAAATGAGTGGCTTGTGATCGGTTCGGATTGTGAAATGTCGTGCTTCTAATATGTGTCGAAAATGTTTGATCGAAAGGTAGATTGCTAAGAATTCTCTATCATAAGCACTGTAATTTATTTGTGCTGCTTTATATTTTGCCGAGTAAAATGCTACTGGCTTCGAATATGTTGCTGATAAGTGTACTAATTTGGTGGCTGATAAGATACTCGTTTTGCATTGATTGAATGTTGTATTGAGCTCTGTTGACCACATTACTTCGGTCTTGTCATTCTTCTTGGAATCTTTAAGAAGGTTGTTCAATAGTTCTTGTATTTCTGCAGCTTGTTGAATGCACTTACGATAATAATTCAATACTCCTAGAAATTGACGAACTTGATGAACTGTTTTCGGTTTTTCATACTCACGTATTGCTGTTATTCGATCTTCTGGAGGCTCTGTCCCGTCAGAAGTGATGTGATAACCAAGGAATTGTAACTATGGAACACCAAACTCGCATTTCGACATGTTAATGTTTAAATGCGCTTGTTGAAGTTTGTACAATACTATGTCTAGGTGTTTTTCATGTTCGGCTGCATCTTTGGAAAAAAACCAAAATGTCATCTAGATAGCAAAAAACGAACGGTACAGACCGGAATATGGAGTCCATATGGCGCTGAAACGTTTGAGTTGCGTTTTTTAGTCCAAATGGCATTATTTATGTCGATTTTAGAGGAGATCACACTCGCGTGAAGTCGTTCTGATACCTGTGGCTATGTTTATGTAACTTTCTCACTTCGTTTTCTCGAACGATTTTCTCACTTTTGACAATTACTCACTAGAAGTGTTTATGTAACTGTGGTGAATTGTTTTCTCACTTTTTTCGTTCGAGTTTTTGTCACCTGTCAAATTGCTTGCGAGAAGTTTTGAATTTTGAATTTAAAGTTATACAAAGTGATAGTGACGACATTTGTGATTTCTTTAAATAAAATATTTATTAATATAATCATAATGAGTAATGTAAGTATTTATATATTTACACATATATATATATATAATATTAAATATATTATTATTATTAATATGGATAAGTAAATTTCATTTGTGATTTATTCATGATTTTCAAATAATTTTGAATATCTTACCGCAAACACTAAGGGCCATGTTATGCAGAGTGTCTCGGGCACGGCATGAATACAATTGTTGTTGTTTTCAATGTAAATTTTAAATTTGAGAATGAGAAAAAATACAATATGGCCGTACAAACTCCGGCATGAGAGCCGGCGTATTTGTGTCCCGGCACTAAGGCAAAACAGTGTTGTTTAGTAATAAATTTCAAAATTTGCGCCTTTTAGGAGTAAATTACTACAATTC